AGCTTAAATGGGGCTGGAGGATGTTCCAAGATGACTCAGTTACATGGCTGTCGGCAGGAGGCCCCAGTCCCTCTCCATAGGGCTGCCTGCCTGTGCCATGACATTAGTGGCTGACTTCCCCCAAAGCAAATGATCCAAGAGAGCAAGAGGAAACAACCCAGTGGTCATGGGCCGCACCCTCCATGGGGGAAGGGTCCGAAAGACAGCATGACTACTAGGAGGTGGGTCTAATTAGGGTTCATTGTGGAGTAGGTGGTCATTGTGAATACCCATTTAAATTTTCCACACACCTGCTCTGTTCTAGATGCTGCGCTGAGCTCTAGTGAGTATAGGAATGAGTTAGAATCAGCCCAGCCCTTACAGGATCCACACGTGGGTCTGTGCGTGCTGGGGGTGTGGGTGAGGAGGTCAGACAGATATGGAAGCAGATGGTGTCAAAAGAGTTCAATAAATACGCAATAGTAGAGCAGTGGTTCTTAAAAATGGCTTTGCTGGAATGGGGATTTAGCTCAGTGGTTACACTGCCTGCCTTGCAAGCGCAAGGTCCTGAGTTCGATCCCCAGTACCAAAAAAAAAAAAAGGCTTTGCTGTAATACATATTCATCTACAACATTTAAATCACATCATGAAAAGACTCCTCCCCCTTAATCTACCACCAACAACTCCCCCAGCTCAGAGGCAACAGGTGCAACCTGTTTTGTGTATTCTTCCAGAATTATTCCATGATACACAAACACATTTCCTGCCTCTTTAAACAACTAGACAGCACTGTTCAAGGTGCATTGTTCTGCAGCTTGCCTGTCTGGTCCTATTTTGCTCTATGTTGGAAATAAATCCTACATAAAGAGCTACATTGTTCTTATTTATGGCTGCAAGGTATTCTAATGTCTGTGTAAGCCACCATTTCTCTAATTACTCCTCTATCATTGAACATTTGGTTTATTTCTAATCTCTTGTTAGAGACAAAGTTAGTGATTTTCCTTCCCATCCCTTTCCACTCACATGTATATAAACAGAGGAGAACTTCTTGGGAGTAGACTTGGATCCCTATCTTGGACCCACCAATAGGACCATCAACTTCTGGTCATTTAGGCCTGATTGGGTGGTTATTACACCTAGAAGCTGCAAGTAACATTGTTTCATAGTATTGTAAACTCCTAGAATGTCAGTTCTAAGAGTTTTAAGAGTTAAGTAAATAGCTGTGGAATGAATGAATGAGTGAATGGGTGAATGAATGACTCTAATCAAGGATATGTGTGAGAGGCTGTTATTTCTGAGCCAGGAGGAAGTCTTCTTCTTCTCCTTCCCCCTTTGAACTTACCCTCTCTTCTTCCTTCCTCTTTCTCCTCTGAGTCAGCTCTTAGCATCTGTCAGGGTCCTTGTTCCAGTCCCTGTCCCATTCTCCTGCTCCCAAGACTCCTCCTCCATTCATCCTCCTTCTTAGCAGCTCCATTCTTTCTGCAGAGAACAGAGAAAAACAAGCCCACTGGCCGCTCCCTGTTGCTTGTACTTCTTTGCCTGCCTTCTCAACCTGCTCACTTTTCTAGTTTCCTCTCCTACCAACCCACCTTGCCCCTTGCCTCACAGACCCCATGCTCCACCAGAAATAATAATGGTGACATACATTGAGCACATAATATGTGTACTTTGATGTGGATTATCATGTTCAAACCTCACAATATCCTATTAGACTTTTATGAGGGCAATGCTATTGTTATCCCCATTTTAAGGATGAGAAAATGGAGGCCCAGAGACACTCAGGGGCTTAGCCAGGTCACCCGCCTAGCAGATGAAGTGTTGGGATGCAAAACCATTCAGGTGACCCTCTGGCTGATTACCTCCACTGCATGAGTCCTAGCTGGCTGCCAGTCTTGGAGTGTTCCATGCTCCTTCACACTCCTCCGCCTTTGCCCAATCCTGTCAACTCCCCACCTGCCAAATCCTTGTTTGTTCTTGAAGGTCTTGCTCATAAATCACCTCCTCTTCAGAGCCTTTTCCAGATTCTCCAGAAAGAGCTGGTTTCTCACTCTTTGATTTTGCAGTTGAGAACCTAGTGCTATGATGATTTGAAGACCTATCTTCTGCTCCAGATTGTGCCCCCAGAGGGCAGGAATAGTGCTATATCTCCATCTAGTGTCTTCTATCAATCCTGGTACAGAGCAGGTGCTTTCTAAAGGCTGGGGACTGAATGACAGGGTTCTAGGACTTCTTCTCTCAATACAGGGTTGGGAAAGATGGGTAGGAGTCTCCAGTTGGAAACTGGGCAGAGAAGGAAGTTGTAGAGCCCTCAAATAGAAGAAGCCCCCACCTAGGGGGCCAGCTAGCGAGAATTTTACTAACCTTACCACTTGTCCTTGGGTCAGAACTGTCCCCGGGGGACCCTGCTGATGGGGAAGTTCCATACTTGCACTACTCCCTAGAGGTCATTGGGAACCAGCTGCCCTACCCCTAATGGGTTTTCCCCTCTTGCAATGCCAGGAACTGAACCATAATAGGAAATGACCCTAGCAGGGTCTTTGGACGTTGCAGGAGGAAGTATGACAAGATTTCTGTGCATAGTGCTTGGGTCATCCCAGCCAACACCCTTTGGACTTCTGAAACCAAGGGGTTACATAGCTTTGGTAAGACAGTAGTTCCGGGGAGGGGAGGGACTTTCTTGGGGTGTGAGGGAAATTGCCCCATCCCCTGAACTGTGGTGCAAGCACTGTTCCAAATCGCCTCTCAGCAGCCCCGTCACTGTGCCTTGGCTGGGACTGTAGGTAATTTCTGAGCTTCTCTTGCAGGCTTTTAAGAGATACCGCAATCTCTGGCCCCTGCCCCTTTCCAGTCAACCTTTCTGTCTGTGGCTGCCTCACTCAAGAACTTCCTGGACCAGGGATATAACTCAGTGGCACTGCACCTGCCTGGCAAGCAGAAGGTCCTGAGTTCGATCCCAAGTACAAAAAAAAAAAAAAACAAAAACCAAACAAAAACACCCCAACCAACCAACTAACAAACAAACCCACAAAACTTCCTAAGGCTCAGACCAGGGATTTAGCTCAGTGGTTCTGGCGCCTGCCTTGCAAGCGCAAGGTCCCGAGTTCGATCCCCACAACAAAAAAAAAAAAAAAAAAAAGGATGTTTCTTTAATAAAAGGGAAAAAAACCAAAACGAAACAAAAATCTTCCTAAGGATCCCTGTGGCACTACACATCCCAAAAACTAGAAACAGAACAGGAGAGAGGCTGTGACTCATCATGTGAACTTGGCTCATTCACTCTACCTCCTTTAGTTCCAGTTCCCTCATCCATTAAATATGGATAAAAAATTTGAAAATATCAAAATTAAGCAATTTGTTCAATAAAACAAATTCATTCAAAGGAAGTCACCCTAGACTAGTTATTCTCTAAGTGTGATTCCTGGACCATGAGCATCACCTGGGCACTGGTTAGAAAGGCAAATTCTTAGACCTCACCCCTGCTTCAGTGAATCAGAAACTCTAGGGTAGGGCCCGGCACTGTTTTAGCAAGCCTTCCAGGAGACTCTGATGCATGCTAGAGTTTGAGAACCAACACCACAGATAAACTTAACAGATGGGCTACATATTGGGAGAAGATGTTTAGAATGTCAACATCCAACAAGGTATTGATAGCTAAAATTTGTGATCTAGTCTTGTGAATCAACAAGAAAAAACAGGAAATCCAATAGAAAATGAACAAAAGATATGAACAAGCAGTTTACAGAAGGGGAAGCTTAAATGCCTGGTGAATATAGGAGGGGATTCTAAGTCTCAGGATTAAAAGAGAAATGCAAGTTAAAACAATGAGATGCCATCTTACCCTTGAAGTGACAGGCCACAAGGATATAGTCAGGAAATGTAAAAGCTTTTGAAGACATGGGGAGATAGCATTGTTCACATGCTGTTGGAGGGGTCATTCTGGAAGAATTCAGAGACACTTACGATGTATATGGGCTGTGATCTACTAATTTCTCTGTTGGGAATAGAGCACAAAGTTTTCACATAGTGCATGAGGGTCAAGCACACAGATGTACAGCACAGTATTGTTGGTGCTAAAAGAGTGTTGGAAGCAACCTGGGTGTCCATCACTGGGGAGATGGATTTAAGAGTGGATGCTTAGCTTGGACTATTTTGCAGCAGGTGGATGTGATAAGTTAGATTTTCCACAGCAACATGAGTAGATCTTACATTATGGAGTGAAAAAAGGAAGCAACAGCATGAGATCCTTATGCAATACCACTTATATAAACACACACACACCGTGTGGTGGTGCTTTCTAAGTCAGGGAAACATTTCAATGTGTGGGGGTGGGTGCTTTTGGCACAAGGGGGCAGGAGTGTGAGGAATGTGTGGCCGGAAAGGGAATAAAAGAAAACATCAGATGGACTTTTCATGGGCCAGCAATGATGGGCTGTTCATTTGCCATCAGCTAAGCATGAATCATGAAACTCTCAGAACCTAAAATCCTAGCAATAATATTACTTAAAAATTGATGATAGTTGTACCTTGTTTTCAGTAAGTGCCATGTGTCTGGCCACAGAAGGCTTTGTAAGGTTGAAGGTTCTGCAAGTTAATGTTAGCTCTTCTAGGAGTGTCTCTGGCTTCTTCTCAAAGGCTCAGGCTGTGCCAAGCCTCATCTCATCTCTACCTCTCTAGCTCTCCAGGTTTGGCTTCAAATTGCTTTGACTGGGCCAGGGATTTAGCTCAGTGGTTTCACCACCTGCTGCGCAAGCGCAAGGACCCAAGTTCGATCCCCGGTACCAAAAACAAAACAAAACAGAACAAATTGCTTTGACTTCCCCCAGACCCCAGGCTGTGGAGTCCTAGGTAATTCTCTCTGTGGAGCTTGGGCACAGAGCCCCAGAGAGCTGCAGGGATGAGTCAGTCCTGTTTCTCCTCCCAAACCATGAGCTCCTTGACAGTTTTTTAAACACCTTACCCCACCACAGCTCCCATCCTATTGCCCCAGGAAAGACAGAAAACCGAGTCAGAAGGCATTCCATGGGAAGGGAACAGCATTTATTGAACACCTACTATGTGCTAGGCTCAGCACTAAGGTCTTACCCTTCATTAATTCCCCATGACTACCCTATGAAGAAGGCAGGGCTGAAATGATTGGAGAGAAGAAAAGGGAGATAATATCTAAGGAGAATCAGGAGATTCCCTCATATCTCTTGGCCTTTTTTGAACTCAGTTTCCAAATCTGTAAAATAGAAGTAGAGTTCTCTGAAAAAAATGGATGTGTGGTGTGTGTGTGTACACACGCGCACGCTCTGTGGATTGAACTCAAAATTCTTTTCTCAGTCTGCCAGCAGATGGAGCCCTTCTTCATCTCTCAGCCTTCGAAAAGCTGAGGGGTCCCGAGGAGGAAGGGATTTTCTGAGGCGGACCAGGGCTACTGGCCCCTGCTGATCCCTGGTGACACCCTGGGGCCTTTAGGATCCGCCCTCGCCCGCCCCCTGCAGGACATTCTTGGTACTTCAGGGACTCGCGCCACAAAGGCCAGGGACAGAAACCTGGGGAGTGGAGCCCTCCTGAAGGGGTGCGACAAGGGAACAAGGATGGCTAGGGATGGAGTCCCGCAGGGAAGAGTGAGGAAGGCTCAGAGGCGGGTTGCAAGGGGCAGAGGCTACAGGTAGTTGTCTTCAGCCACCTTGCCCCCGCCCCTGGACTTGTCATAGTCGTCGTCGTTGTCGTCGTCATCAGGGGCCAGCGCTTCAATGTCGTGCGTGATGTCCGTCAGCAGCCTGTGGAAGGCCTGCTCCTCGGGCCGCTGGGCCACGCCGTCGTAGCTGCGCACCGCTGACGCCGACGTGGAGCTCATGCTGCGCTTGATTCGGCCGAAGCTGTCGGTGAGGATGCCGCCCTCTCGGATACCCACGCCCTCCAGGAAGCCCTCGAAGTAGCAGATGTCCTGGTCTGGGATGAAGGGCCGCATCCCTGCAGGCCGCAGGCCAGGGTGATTCCCAGGATTCAGCCCCTTCCATCCCACAGAGGGATCTGCCTCTGACGATCTGAGTTCAAGTGCCGACTCTGCCACTTGCTGGCTGTGTGACTTTGCCCAAGTTCCTTAACTATCTGCACCAGTGGATCATGACACACTGCTTAGCACACGGTGGATGCTCACTGTATGTCAGCTTAGTCTATTCCTGCTATGTTCCAACGTATGAGCTACATTACCTTCACTACATAGCTACTCTGGGCCTCAATTTCCCCATCTGTAAAACTGAGATAATCGCACCTGTTCTGGTAGGCAGGTAAAGAGTAAATAACAAGGAACTTCAAACACCTTTGAACACATGCACACCCAATGAACATTATCTCACTTGGCCTCCATCCCTGCTTACTAGCTATTTGACTTTACTTTACTACTCTGAGCCTGTTTCCTTGCAGGCACAAAAGGGAAAATAATTGTATCTACTTTCCAGAACTGGGGCCTCTCAATGAGATGGTGCTTCTCATGGTAATTGCCAAACACGTGTTCTTGCTAGTATTATTATTCCTGTTGTGGTTATTAGCCTGGCTTCTTAGCTGTGTGACCTTAGGCAAGTTCCTTATCCCCTCTGAACCTCAGCTTCCTCATGAGGAAAGATGGAAAGACTCAGTCTCCTTCCCAACTTTGTTCTGGAGGTGAAATGGCTGCACTAGGACCTCAGTCTGGTCAACTTTATTTCCTGATGGTTGCAAATCCTTTCCTTTCTCTCTGCCTCCATCTCCATGTCTGCCCCACGATCTCAAGATCCTGGCCCGTATCAGAGGCTGAAGGATAAGGAGAAAACCCTCCAGGGTGGTACCTGCTTGGGAATGACACGGATCCAATAGGGGTGGTTCACTGCCCACTGGGGGTGGTAGGTGGTGGGTCGGGGCTCACCCAGGAGCAGGAACTTGCGGTGGTCTCCATAGAGCTTCAGCAGGCTGGCACAGAAGTCCTGGATGGGCAGCCCCAGCCGGTACTCCCGCAGAAGCAGCGCGAACTGCTGGATCTCAGAGGACCCCAGCTTACTCCGCAGCTGTGAAGGGACCCCCTTTGCCACCAGTCCCAGGAGCAAGCCTTCCCAGTCCCTGCCTAAAGGAGCCAGAGCCCTCTCTGGGGGACCCACGTGGCTTGGTCCCCTTCTGAAAACCCTTCCATGGCCTACTCAGGGGACTCACACCCCCTGTGCTGCATCTGAGAATTTGGGGCACAACCTTCCTGACCCTAGCCTTCCTCTCTGTGAGATGACAGCACCTCCCTCTTGGGGGCATTAAAAAGATGAAAAGAAATGATACATGAAAGGTGCTTAGAGAGTGCTTGGTATACAGCAAGCACACAGTGAATGTTAGCTGGCATGGTCAAGACCTTTCACAAGCTGGCTTCAGTTCACTCGGCTGCCTTTGCCTCTGAGGCCTCAGGCTGTAGTACATCCAGACCTGTGCATGGTTGCTCCAGCCTCCCAGCCTCCCAGCTCACCGTGATCATGTAATCCTGCAGCTGCTCAAGGCTCAGGCCGCTGTGGTCACTGCCACTGCAGTGTGAGCCGTGGAAAGAGGGAGTGGATGTGCCACTGTAGCATGCTTCAAATGTGTCCTGGGAGCCGTTGCTGCAGGGACAGGCAGAAAAGAACCTTCACTCATCACCCTCCAGCTCCTCTCCCCAGGCAGGCTGGAGTTGGGTGGGCTAGGCTACCAATGCCATGGGCCTGAGGCCTCATTCAAGACCCCATTTTGGCCTCCGAGATCCTGCATTCTGGCCCCTGGTCAATTCTCAAGCCTCTCCTCCAACTACTGCCTCTTGCTTTTGGTGCTCTGGCCATCTTCCTTCTCCTTTTCCTTCCTGTACTCCAGGCATCTCCCTGCTTCTGGGCCTCTGCACATGCTGTTCACTCTGCCTGGAATGCCTCTCCCCTATCCCATGCTAAAACCATCTCTTGCTCATCCTCCAATCATATCACTCCTCAGAAAAGTCTCCTTCGACCCCCAAACTGGGTTAGACCCTCTGTCAATGTGCTCACTGAGTCATGTCACCCCATGAGACGCAGACCTTTCCAGATCCCCCACCAAACCCTGACTTTTTCCCTGACACCCTCTGCCACCAGCACAGCCTCCTGCCTGATCCTCAGACAGCCAAACTACCCTGACCAGAATCCTTGCTCTTGCTGTTCCCTCTACTGACATTCTTTCCCCTTCATCCTCCAGATCTTGATCTAAGTGTCGTCAGAGCCAAGAGGCCCTCCTGACTCCCCAGCTCAGTGGGGGCCCCTTGACTCTCTCATAGCACATTGAGCTCCCCGTTAGTGCTTAATATCATCAATGCTTATTACTACTAATAGCGAGCTCACTGCCTCCTATGTTAGACTGTAAACTTCATACAAGCCATAGCTTCCTGGTTAAAGGTGTGAACTCTTGTGTGCATATCTCAGGCCTACCATGCAGCTGCTTGATCCTTGAAAGGCTAAACTTAAATTCTTTATTCCTCAGCTTCTCTATCTATAAGATAGGGTGACAAAAATTGATGCCATTGTGAAAAATAGTGGAATTAAAATTTGTAAAATACTTAGAGTCATGGACTACATGCATTAACTAGTAACCACAGTAATGTTGCCATGTAGCTGCTAACAGCAGCAACAACAACAACAACAACAAAAACAAAATAATGAGTGCTTTATAGAATAGCATTTGGCACAGAGAAAGCTCAATAAATGTTAGTCATTAGTATGATTTTCATCTCTCCGGTAGCTATCAGGTTGTTTACGGCCTAGCCTAAGGACACAAAGTATTACAAAGGCAAATCTATTGCCACTAAAAAGATAAAACAAATAATAGAGCATATATCATTGGCAGGAACTGCAACTTGCTGATCCAAAGTCCTTTGTAGCATGACTAGGGTGACTAATAGGATTTGCCTAGGCTTTTTTGGTTTTAGAATGAAAATCTCATATCCCGGGAAACCCCTCATTCTTGAGCAAACTAAGATGGTTAGTCACCCTAAACAGAACCTAGGCAATCTTCCCAACTGAGAAAAAACATTTCAATCCTACGTTTTCAGCCTTGTTTACAGCTAGTTATGACTGTGTGACCAAGTTCTGGTGAATGAGATGTAGGCAGAAGTCACTGGGTAGGAATTCTAGGAAATAATTTTTTTCTTGCAGTTCAGGGATCGAACCCAGGGCCTTGCTGAGCATGCATTCTACCACTGAGCTATACTCAGTCCCACTGTGAAATTCCTTAAAGAATCCTTGCCATGTGGTTTTGATGGCTGGAGCTACATCCTGGTTCATGAAGTGACCTTGAGGATGGAAGCAAGTACCAAGGAGAATAGGGCAGAAAAAGAAGCCTGAGGCCCCAGGTTAATCATTAGGATTTGAATGCCTGCTCTATTTATTTATTTTTTGGTACTGGGGATGGAACTCGGGACCTTGCACTTTCAAGGCAGGCACCGGAACCACTGAGCTAAATCCCTGGCCCATGCCTGCCCTATTTTATATAAGAAATAAGAAAGACAGGTAAAAGAAAAAGAAAGCAAGCAAATCAGCTATGTCTTTGTTGAGCTACTCAGTTTGGGGTTTTCTACTACACAATAAGCCAAAATGATTTCTGGCATTGGCTATGGCTTGAGGCTGCAGCTTGGGTAATTAAAGAAAACCTCTGTGGGTCTGGGTTACCTCCTACCCTCAGTGCCTAGTGTCCCAGCACAAACCAGGGTTCGACCCTCCCTCTCTGGTGGAGGGATCCTGTTTGTGCAGGGGTGGGGGAGCAATGGTATCACCGACAAGGGCAGTACCTACAAGGAGCTGCAGCAGCTGAAGTCAGCATCATAGGCATAAGTCCCATCTGTATGGCAGCTCTCACCTGTGACCAGCAGAGGGATTGTCAGAGTGGCAAAGCAGGACATCCCTGGCTTCCCTGCCCCAACATACAGCAGACCTTGGGCAACTCCACTTCCCACTGCCAGCACAATACCCCTTCCTGCCTACCTCATAGGGCCTGGGGAAGAGCAGGTGCGGGGGCAGGGGTGTGTTGTGATGTGTGTTACAAACTGTGTTTGAGGCAAGACAAGAAAGAATTTTGCAAGGGGGAAGGAGTTCAAAATCTTCAGGGGTCCTGGGGGGGGGGTGCACACCTGTAATCTCAGCACTCAGGAGGCTGAGGGAAGAGGATCACTGTGAGTTCACAGCCAGCCTGGGCTACATGGCGAGACATTGTCTCAAAAAAAAAAAAAAAATCTTCAGGGAAAAGCAGCACCATCTACAGAGAACTTGCCTTCTTCCCAGCCTGCTGCCTCACCTGTCCAGGTATTAGACTCACTCTTCTGATCTCAGCTCTTTCAGTGTCACTTTGTCACCCTGACTTCTCTGATGAGACCAGTTCCTCATTACACATGCTCTGTGTTTATGTATTTATCTGTATAACTATTTCACTACAGTCAGCCTGCCTCAGCCCAAGCTTCAGGAAGACAGAGCTCGATCTGGTTTTTCCTACCAGTATATCCTGATTAGCACTGGATCTGACATAGTAGGTGCCCAACAAATATTCGTTGAATGAATGAGTTTGTGAACTACTTACTGCATTATATCATTTATCAGTCTACCATCCCATTGAGAGTTGGTGAGTTATCCCAGCTTCCCAACAAGCATAGTTTCCATGGGTGGGGGCCTTCAGAGGACAAGCGCCAGTGCCCTGCTGTGGGAGCTATATAAACAGGGACCAGGCTGCAAGGGCCTGTGGCTAAAGGAATTCCCTAATAGCCTTGAGTGCAGCATGGGGACTGAGGCTGTTGCAGATGGAAACTTTGGAACTAGACGCACCTGGGTTCGAGTCATGACTCTTAACGTTTGCCATCTAGGAGATTTTCTATTCTGAGCCTCAATGTCCTCATCTGTAAAATTGCAATTTATGGCCCCACTGAGTTCTGTCTATTCAGAGTACCTCCTGAGTGTCTGTGATGTACCCAGTCCTTTGCTAGGCTACCAGGACAGACAAGTTACTATAAGGACTCAGTAAGACTACTATTGTGCTTGGCACAGAGTTGGTGCTCAGTAAATGCCTCTGTTGGCCTCATTCTCATTCTAAACCCTGACTGCAGCCAAGGACCAGTCTGGAGATGTTGCTTTTGACCCTGGCACCTAGTGAGACTGGAAGGCTCAGCAGGTAGACAGCGTATGTGCTTAGATTTCTGCAAACCAGGGCCACTCAACTCAAGAAAGAGAAAAGTCCAAGTGTGAGGGACTCATCCTGAATTTGGCAATCTGAACATCTTTGATGAAGCTAGGTTTGAAGTTGTCATGTTGAAGATCAACATCTTATTTTACCCACCTATGAAGGGGACACTGTAACTGTGGCAGAGATCAGGACTCTACAGGCTTTCATCAGCCCTGAGTCCTCAAGCATCTGCCCTGTCAACAGGAGAGGAGGCCAAGAGTCTGGGTACTCACTGCGGCTGCAGAGCCATGGCCGTTCAGGTGTGGACATATAGTGGTAGCCGGCCCGGTCCACACACTCGATGCCTTGGTCCCCATAGATGATCTGGAAAACCTGACAGATGAGTGCGCAGGATTCCTCGGCAGCATCCTGGTCCAGAGAGGTGGAGAAGAAGAGCTCAGGTCCTCACCTGTCTCCAGGTGACCCCTGCTTCATCAAACACAGTGTGAGGGGACTCAGGACACACACCTAGGGGTCCCTTTAAATTCATCTTGAAGACAATTCCCATCAACATTATGTGATACTCTCTGGGCCTTGTGACTCTTTTACAGAATCCAGAGACAACCCTGGCACCTCTGCCATGAAAAATGTACCCCACATTTCTGAAAGGTTCATGGATTCTCCTGAAGCTTATCTAAAATAAGCCCTAATTCAATATACAGGTATAGAAGCTGAGGTCCAGAGAGGGAAATAATTAGTTGAGATTGGAACTCAGGCCTTCTAATGTATAGTAAGAGAAGGAATAATTAAATATGTGGCATGATCAAAATACATGGTGAATGTTTAAAATTTTTAAATTTATTACAGTAAAAGACACATTGCCATGAATCCCCCTCTAACCACTCCTCTCCCCTAAACGCATGTATTCTATCATTCTTTATTTTTATTTTTTTTGTATCTTATCATTCTTGCCACTGAGTCCTTGGAGCAGTTCTGGAAGTCCTCTTTCCTGAGTGTCTTTATGGGGTATGATAAAAAGCATGGTAAATGCTGCCACCGAGTGCTAGCCAGGGAAAGATAGGGTTCTAAAAATATTAGGGTGAGTCCTCATCTACTTTGTTCACTGGATCTGGCACTGTGTGACTTCTGGTTCTTTCCCAAAGTCAAAATGATCATGAAAGGTAAATATTTTTAGTCAATTTAGGACATTGAAGCAGCCATAACAGCCCCAACCAAAGACACTGACCAAAGAGGACTTCCAGAAGTGCTCCAGAAAGTAGGAAGAATGATGGGACAAATATGTTTGAAGCACAGAGCAGTGTTTTGAGGGAGACACATGGCAATGTGTCTTTTAGTACAAGACATTTAAAAAAAATTATACTGTTCAATCACGCTGCATCTATAAAAATTTTAGGTTCAATATAGTTACTACTACTAGATGCCTACTAAATGTCATTTTTTTTTTTTTTTTTTGGTACCAGAGATCGAACTCGGGTCCTTGTGCTTGCGCAGCAGGCAGCGAAACCACTGAGCTAAATCCCCGGCCCCTAAATGTCATATTTAGATATGAGCTTCTTTCTACCCAGTGCAAAAATGGAACCAAGATGAATACTAAGCTTGAAGAAAGGAGTTTAAGTTCATGCGTGAATTTATTTTGAGATTGCATATTTGAAGAGGAATTTATCTCTTTAATTTACCTCTTTATGTCTTTAAGCAAGAGACACAGAAAGGCAATAACAATGAAGAGAGATCAACTTCATGAAGCTATTTCCTATTTGGGGTCTGCACAAAAGTCCAAGGCATAAATTAAAAAGGAACTCAGGATAGGCATTTGGGAGCTGAAGGGAGTACGGATCATCAAACCAGGGTTGATAGTTACAGTAACCCTACAAAATGGGTAGGGGAGATTCTTATTTTCTGGTTAAAAGATGCTGAGGCTTAAAGTGGCTTAAGTGACTGGAATGGGCTCATACAGCAGATTCGGACATTAATACCGGTGTTGGGATTTTGGACTCTTAACTCCTATGTCCTCCCAGGGACCACGATGACTCAGGTAGGAGACCAGAGGCTCAGACCCCTCTGGAAAGCAATTCTTCATTTACATACTCATTCACAAGTTCTTGTTTCATCCTACTGTGTGGCAGACACTGGCCAGGCCCTATGCCCTGAAGCCCCACAGCCCAGTGTGCTAGAGAAGTCATATGCTGCCTCTGTGACTTCAGTTTAAATGACACAAACTCATTTTCTCTAATAAAAATGAGTCTCCTTGCCCATCCTCTATCGCTGTAACCTGGTTTTCTTCTTGTTCCCCATGGCAAGGTACGTGATATGAAATGCCTTAATCCATCCATTCAATCAACATGTATTCATTGAGCACCTATTATGTGTCAGGCATGGTTCTAAGTGCCAGGGGTACCACAGGGATGCACAAGTCTCCTGGACTCTACCAGGAGAGCAGTTTGGCTGGAATGGAGCCAAGAGGGAGGGAAGCAAGAGGTGAGGCCAGAGATGAAATGGGGCTGGTGACTGAGACCTAGATGGCCCTCTGAACAAAAGAGGAGTCACTGGAAGAACTGGAGCAGAGAAATGATGTGACTTATGTTAGCAGGACTGCTCTGACTGTTCCAAGAAACAGATTGGAAGAAAGCATTCAGCCAGTGAGGGGGTGATGATCCTGACGAGAGGAGATGGTGACAGTGGAAGTAGAAAAAGGGATTTTGGTTATATCTGAAACACAGAGCCAGCAAAGTTTATTGAGAATGGATATGGTGTGCATGCGTGTGTGTGCATGTGTAAGAGAAGCCAAGGACCACTGCAAGGTTTAGGCCCGAGCAACATAAGGGTAGCACTGCCATTAATCAAGATAGGGAGAGATCTGGAAGCCTCAGGATTGGGGGAGAAGACTGGGAACTCAGCTTTGCATGCATTATGCTTGGTGTGGTCATATATAGACTTTTTTTCTTTTTGTACTGGGGATCGAACTCCGGTCCTTGCACTTGTGCAGCAGGTGGCAAAACCACAGAGCTAAATCCCCGGCCTAGACTTTTGACTTGAGAGGCTGAGTGGAGATGTGGTAAGAGATAAAATTAGAGAAACTTGCATGTTTTAAAAGTATGAGGCTAGTAGGGCATGGTGGTGGCACATGCTTGTAATCCCAGCACTCTGGAAGGCTAAGGCAGGAGGAACAAAAGTTTGATCTCAGCCTGCCTAATTTAGCAACTTAGTGAAACCATGTCTCAAAATAAAAAATAAAAAAAGGTTGGGGATGTTGCTTGGTGCAAAGGTCTTGGGTTCAATGTTCAATCCCCAGAATCTAGAACCGCTAAAAAAAAAAATGAAAGAAAGAAGAAAAAGAGAAGAGGAAGAACCAGTGCTACGGAGGAGCCAGGGAGGCAAGAGGAAAACCAAGAGAATGTGGAGCCCTGGATACCAGGTGAGAAAGTGTCTGAGTTTTCTAGTGATTGTACACCTCTCCCTCTAGACAGGCACTCCATGTATGTTTTGTTCACCACTATTTACACTGAGAAAGCCCCCAAACCTGGGACAGACGGACAGCTTAGAAGGCTTGGGGCTTAAAGGCGGCTGCCAGACCTTGTGCCCCCTAAGGAGAACACCAAATGGCTGCTCACCTCTGCATCTGCAGCATGTTAGCCTACGCTTAGCTTGTAGCTGGCACTCAATAAACACTCTGGGGGACAGGGGAGGGGAGTGGAGGGAAGGGGAGAGGATGAGTATGGAGATGGGGCGGGGTGGGGACAGGTAGGGAAGGTAAGCCTTTTGCCTGGGGCCACGTTAGTTGCCAAGAGTACCAGCTCTGAACTTCCTGGGTTTGAATCTTGAAGTCACCACCTGGTTCCTCTGCGACCTTGCATTAGTGACTGGACCTCTGATCACTTTCCTTTCCTGTGCAATGAGGACAGTGGTCCTATCTGCCCCTAGGGGTTGCTGTGAGAATTAAATGTGAATGCTGTCCCTGTCTGACATGGACTGGCACTTCGTGCTGCTGATCACTGTCCTCGTGACTCTTCCTTTTTTTTGGTACCGGAGATCGAACTCAAGACCTTGCGCTTGCGAGACAGGCGCGGTACCACTGAGCTAAATCCCCGGCCAATGTCCTCGTGACAGTGGTGGTGCCAACACTGACCTTGCTGGAGAAGTGGGGCTGGGGGAGGGGGTTCGCATCAAGTCTATTGGCTATTTTGAGTTTTCGTTCTGTTGGGGGACCCAGAGCGAGGTGTCCCGCAGGAGTTCAGGTCTGGCGTCACGGGCACACCTCACGTCCTGGTGGGGTCTCAGGTCGGGAAAGGCAGACCCCGGGAAACTTGCGAAGGGGAGGGGCGGGGTCTCGGACACCCGGGCGCGGGGTGCCCTCGGGCTCACCCTGTTGGGCACAGCCAGGATGACCAGGTTGCAGTAGGCGTCGGGGCTGGGGTCCTGAGGGTCGAGCGGGTTGGGGCCCGGGTGGCGCCGCTCCCAGCTGCCGCCGCAGCCGCCGGCCGCCTGCCTCCGCTCCCAGCTGCCGCCTGGCTTGCCCGCGCCACCGCCGCCGCCCGCGTGTCGCCGCTCCCAGCTGCCGCTAAACGTCTGCCGCCGCTCCCAGCTGCCCGATGCCCGCGCCCTAGCGCGCTGGCGCTCCAAGCTGCCGCCGCCGCCCCCGGCCCGCGCCTCGGCGCCCGTGCCCCCGCCCCACGCCATCCGCCAGTCCAGGCTGCAGATGGTGTGGCGCCGCTCCGAAGTGCCCACCCGCGGTTTCTCGGGCGCCGCGCCCGAAGGGCTGGGTTCGCACCTCGCGCCCCCCGGGCTGGCGTCCACTCCCGCCGGCACCGGGTCCACGCCCAGACCTAGGAGGGGTGGGGCGGATGCGTCAACCGCAGGAGATCCCAGTTAAGAAACCTCTCGTGTGGCCACCAGGTGGACTCCCCGCCTCCTTGCCGCTTCTCTGGGGTCCCGCTGCCCTGGCCTCGACCTGCCCGTGCCCCCCCGGCCCCGCCCCGCGCTCCAGACTCTGTGGCCCACCCCTGGCTTCCCAGTTGTGTATCCCTTCCCGATCCTACCCGCGATCTTCATTTCAGGCTCCGCCCCCGGCCTCAGACCCCGCCCCCGGCCTCAGACCCCACCCCCGGCGACTGCTATTACTTTAACTCCACTCGGGGGCCCCTCGCCTCAGATCTGCTTTCTGACTTGGTGATGAGCTGGACGTTCCCTCCCTGAGTGTTCCTAATTTAGGCCGCGATCCGGGTTTGAGCTCTCCCACTCTCCTCAGCCCCGCCACCCGTTTGCTGTGGCCTGACCCTGTCCCTGGTCTCAGGGTGGTGAGGCCAGGTCTTCCATCACCCCCGTCTCCTTAACTCGCGCCGCACCCCTGCTGCAGGCCTCCCCGCCCCGCCAGGTCCCACTGTTGCCCACCGGTTTTAAGCACCAACAGGTGCAGCGCATCGTCCTGCAGGTAGGAGGCGGCGGCGATCTCGTGCGTAGGGATGCGCAGGATGAGCTCCTCGTTGTCGCGCCAGGTGAGCAGTAGGCAGCGGGCCGACAGGCTCAGAATGCTGTCCTGCTCCGCCGTGGTCTTCAGCGGCAGCTCCTTCAGCTGCTGCGGGGTGGGTCGGGTCTCCTGAGCCCCGGGTGGGAGGCATGGGCGGGAAAAGAAGGGGAGTACGGGACCCTGCCCTCCGCCCTCTCTCCCCAGAGCCTCACCCGGGCCTTGTCCAGCAGCTGCAGAAGCTCGTCACGGCTGGAAGGGTTCAGTGAGGAAGTCACCCAGGTGAGGTGGCCTAGGAACTGGATGAGAAATGAATGAGTGAAGGACACAGAGAATCACACTGAAGCCGTGGAGGACCCTGGCTTCTCGACTGATGCAGTGTGGATAGGCTGAGATAGAAATATCTGAATTCATAATAATCTGATAACAACTTTTATTGAGTCCGTAACAGAAGCCAAGCACAGTTCTGAAGGCTTTATGTATGTATATTCACTCACCTTCTTTAAGGATGAAAACCCATGGCATTGGGTGACTAAAAAATTTGCCCGGGGGTGGGTGTGGTTGCACACATTTGTCAGTCCCAGCTCTCTGGGAGGCTGAAGCAGGAGGATCATAAATTCAAGCCCAGTTTGAGCAGTTTAGTGATGTATCGAAATTTGTCCCCTCAAAATAAAAAGGGCTGGGGATGTAGCTCAGTGTGAAAGCCCTGGGTTCAATTCCCAGTAAGGCTTTGTGCATGCTAAGCAAATGTTCACCCTTGCCTCTGCTGTAGCTTGAAAGGACTGGCCCCAGCTGGGTATGGTGGCTTATGCCTATAATCCCAGCTACTTGGGAGGCTGAGGCAGGAACATCACAATTTGAGGCCAGCCTGAGCAACTTTGTGAGACCCTGTCACAAGACAGAAGACTCAGTGGTAGAATGCTTTCAAATGGACTGCAGCTCATAAAGCACTCTTGTGATCTCCTTGCAGAAGGCAAAAGGAAAGGAAAGAATGTATTGAATTAGTATTTCATTTTGTCAGAAAAAATGGTGCTTCAAATCAATACATTAATTCTTCATTCATTCTTGTAACTTAACGTCATAACTTAAATTGTTATTCAATGTGAGAATTCACTTTCTTCATTATTTTTGTAGTCTTTTAGGTGAATTCCACCAAACGTTTTCTCTTCTTATTATTCTCCATGAAATCTCACTCCCCAAATTTTAAGTGGATTTGTTAGTTTTTCCCTCTAGTTTGCCAGATAAAATACAGGATGCCAGTTAAATTTGAATTTCCGATAAATAAAAATTTAGCTTTGAAATTTTTAGAACTTTTAGTTCTGTGCAATATTTGGGACATGTGTACGCTAAAAAGTATTCAAATTCAAATTTAACTAAGTGGCCTATTGTTTGCTAAATCCAACAGTCACATCCCATAACAACCTTCTTTGGCTAGTGAGGGTCCCCCACGGCCCCTTCAAGATGTTCCTGGCATAGAAGTCCTTGGGGGAATCAGAGTCCTTTGTGGCTTCTTCTTAACCTGGACACTGCCAGAGTACCAGTGTCACTGCAGTAAAATCTTATGGGGAAGCAGAGCTTTTTCACTATACAGAACGCTCTCCCATTTGTAATCCATAGGGACAGGTGTTGACCCCATGCTGAGATGGGAACACTGAGGCTCAGAGGAAGGTCACCTGCTAAGGGCACACAGCACAAAGCAGGAGCGAGGCTGACATGAACCCAGGCCTGTTTCCCAAGAGCCATAGCTAACCCTGTGTGAGACCAGGCTGGTGAGGGGTCAGTGTGAAGGACAAGCAAGGACTCATCCAACCCCTTCTCATCCCACACTCACCTTGACCTCTTTCTCCAAGTAGTCACATAGCAGAATCTGGGGGTCGATGAGATAGTCAGGGGGATAAAGGGGCATTGAGTGCAGGGGCCGGCGACTCACACTATTGCGAAAGGCTGCCCGGCGTGCAGCCTTGGGGAACACCAGCCTTCGGATGGGGGACACAAAGCCCTAGAGACAACAGAAAGAATAACAGTAATGACAGCGCTGACTTTATCAAGCACTTACCATGGTCACTGTTTTACTTATATGACCTTAAACTTAGCTCTCTTAAAAACTCTGTAAAAGGGATTGCTCTGTGGTTCCCACTTCACAGATGGAAAAGTTAAGTCCCAGAAAGGGAGTTAGCTGAGAAGTTAATAGTGATGGAACCAGTAGCTCACTCTGTGCAGTCCAGCCCCAAACCTCCATTCTTATCACCCTGGAGATAATCAGGGTTAGGGAATGGGTCCAGACTGGGGCAAATATAGAAAAAGTCAGTGTTGCTCAGTGGTGGGTACAGAGGTATTTGTTAAGGTATTCTCTGTGTTTTCCTAAAAGTTAGAAATAAGTAATTTAAGTACAAGCCAGGGGCACCTGCATAAAAATGGCCAGGATCAAGATTGGAGGTGCAAATTATCAGGGCCCAGTGCAGACCAACAGACTCTAAATCTCTGAAGAAAGTTTGACCACTGCTCTAAACAGTGGTTCTCAGTGTGTGGTTCCTGGACTAGCAGTAGCACCGTGGAGCTGAGAGAACTGTAGATTCCCAGGCTCTATCCCAGACCCTCTGAACCCGAAACTTGGAGGTAGGGTTCAGTGATCAGGATTTAGCAAACCCTCCAGATGATTCTGATGTGTGCCCAAGTGTGAGAATCATATTTCTGAGCAGCTGCTCCCCACTCTGGCTGCATGCTGGAATTACTTGGTTGAACAGCTTCTAAAACTTCAGGTGCCTAGGATACACCCTAGACTAACAAAGCAAATCAGGAGTTCTGGGGCTGGGACCCAGCCATCAGGACTCTTAAAGGCTCCTTAGGTGATTTCAGTGGCAGCACATATATAGAATGTGTGGCATGATTTTTTTTTTTAGCTCCTGAAATAAGACAAGGTGAACAAAACAACACTTCTGTCTTTAGGAGCTCACATTCTAGTTCAAGTAAACACACTATACACAAGTCCAGAAGTGCCTACATTCCTTCTTTTAGTGAACATTTATTCATGCCTGTGTGGCTGGACCCTGGGCTAGGTGCTGGGATACAGGGCCTGAACTGGACCCTGGCCTTGCCTCCAGGGTTCATGATAAGTGGGCGATAAAAAAGCGTGGGGCCTTTTATGAAATTTTACATTACTTCATTCATTGCCTTTTTTCCCTTCAGTAGCGGGGATCAAACTCATGACCTTTGGCTTGCTAAGCAGACGCAGTGCCACTGAGCTACATCCCTGGCCCTCATTCTTTTTTTTTTTTTTAAAAAGTAGTTGTTCCCCCTACTAAACTGTGAGCTCTGGGGAAGGAGCAGGGACCTTATTTGACTTTGCTCACCACTGCATCATCACCAGCACCTGGCACACTTCCTCGGACACAACAGGTGCTCAATAAATGCCTATCAAAAGAACAAAACAGAAAGGGCATGCACATATGTTGGCTCTCTCCTGAGTGCTTCGTTAATCACACAGGCACCTTTTAGGAGGCCCCTGAGGCAGGGTTCTCGGGGAATGAGGGCTCTGTGTGGGTGGAGTGGGAGAAGCTGGAATGTGAGGGGTTCTGTGCCACAGCCAGAGAAGCAGATTAGAAAACTTCTCAGAGTCAAGAAGGGGTGGATCTGGGAAGGGTGAGGGGATGGCTCCCAGCAGAGGCCTTAGGAGAGAGTCCTGTGCAAAGATGGGGGGCAGTTGGGAGACCCAAGCCGAGACAGGTTGCCTCCTAGCACAGAGTTGCCCCAACTGGAGTGCAGGGGACCAGGAGGATGGGTCTTCTGTCTGTCTGTCCCTCTCTCTGAGAAGCTACAGGAGGGAAACTTCAGAAATCCTGAAGAAGCAGGTTTCCTGGGAAGGTCCCTGTCTCTCTGTCTTTCTATCTGTCCAGGGATGGCAGAGGCCACCAAGAGTGAAGAAACAAGTTAGGGAGTTCAGAGCCCAAATGCCTGGCTGCCAGGGGTAGAGAGGAAGTAGAGAGGAAGGCCCACCTATGCCACCCATCACCCCACCCTTAATGTCCCCTTTCTGCAGCTTCAGGGACATTCCTCTGCCCTGTGTCCCTCTCAAACTCCCACCTACCTTCTTCCCCTTCTTGACTTCATACTCCATGGTGAAGCGTCCCCTCTACTCCTGCCACCAACCCCCCCCCCCCGTTCCTTTGTTCTTTTTCCTGCCTGGTCGGAAACTCCACCAGGACTGGAGTTCCTGCCCCTCCCGCCTATGTGACAGTGGAAAAGGGAGGTGGAGGACATGTCCCCCCTGCAGCCAAAGGTGGAGGCCCAGGCCTCCAGCCAGAGGGATGCCATCCAGGGGGCTTAGCCATTGGGCAAGGCTGGGGAAGGGGCCCCTAAGTTTGGAATCCAAATTTGGAAAATTTCAAGTTCCAGCCCCACTTTTGCCACTGACCTTGTTATATGACCTTGGCAAGGAAAGTCAGTTCCCCTTTCAGAGCCTGTGGTCCCTTCCCCCCTCTAAATAGGAAGCAACTCTTGTCTCCTTCTCTGGGCTGCTGTGGAAAGAAATGAATGAGCGTGGGTGGGAACTGCTTCATAGAGTACCATGTCCAAGGAAGATGTAAAACAATTCATCATTACTATTCAGAGACAATGTGTGTGGGCCTTGGAGACTGGCTGCCTGAGTTTGAATCCTGGCTTTGCCACTTACCAGGGTTATAACCTTGGGCTATTTCCTTAAGCACTAATGTTTCAGCTTCCCCATCTATAAAAAAGGGCTAATACTAGTTTGACTTCAGAGTGATTTTCTAAGGATTAAATGCATACAGAGGAGCTCCTGACATATTAAAATACTCAGTAAATTTTAACTGTTAGGGGTAGGGGTGTAGCTTAGTGGCAGAACACTTGCCTAGCGTGTTCAATCTCCAGAACCACAGACACACACACACACAGACACACACAGACACACACACACACACACGCACACTAGCTATTTACTTTCCTATAGCTTGTGGGCTATTTTACTGTCTCGAGAGAATGTTAGGAAGGCAAGGCTTCTTTTGTGGTTCTGTACTAGGCACCGTGCATATTTCATCTCATTTATTCCTTACCTATTGGGGTACCATTAATACTACTACACAGATTATCTTGTTTTTCTGAGACACGGTCTTGCTATGTAGTTCAGGCTGGTCTTGAATTCACTGTGTATCTCAGGCTGGCCTCAAACTCATGGTGATCCTCCTGTTTCAGTTTCCTAAGAGCTGGGATTACAGGCATGTGCCACCACACCTGACCCCATACACAGAATTTTTTTTGTACCAGGAGTTGAACACAGGACCTTGGGCTTGCCAGGCAAGTGTAGTGCCACTGAGCTAAATCCCTAAGCTAAATTCCTGGCCCCCATATACAGATTTTTGAAACAGAGATTTAAGTGCAGAGCCTAGCTCATTAAGGTCACAGAGGGAGTAAGAGGACCTGGTATTTTGGCTGGTCTGGGTCTGAAATCTAGTGTCCCTTACCTCTAGAACCTGTGCCTTCTGCATGTTCCACCTAGGACATTTAGAAAGTTCTGAGTGGTCCATCCATACCATGCCCTGGGACCTGGGTTCTGAAGGCTCAAGTTCTAGAATGTCTCTGCATATATATGACCCTGACCAGCTGCCTGGTTTCTTTCTTTCTTTCTCTCTTTCTCTCTTTCTTTCTTTCCTTCCTTTCTTTCTTTCTTTCTTTCTTTCTTTCTTTCTTTCTTTCTTTCTTTCTTTCTTTCTTTCTTTCTTTCT